TAAGGCGAGGAGCCGGGCGTCCCCCTCTGCCAGACCGCGGTCCTGGGCTGGGCCCCGCCGTCCGCCGCCTCCTGCTGCTTCTGCTCCTGCATCCGCTTCTGCCTCTGCTTGTCCATGTTGCGCGTCAGGAGGCTGGTCATGCTCATGCGCGGCCCCGGCAGCTCGAAGTGGTAGCCCAGGCGCAGCAGCGTGGTGTTGTCCCGGAGCAGCTTCACGATCTCCATCTCCACCTGGCTGCCCATGATGTGCCGCTGGTTGTGGAAGCGCAGCTCGGTGAGCACGGGGTTGTGCTGCAGGGCCCGCATGAGCGCCAGGACGCCCTTGCCCGTGACGAAGTTGGACTCGATGTTGACGCTGGTGATGTGCCGGTTGACCCGGAGCATGTCGGCGATGGCGGCGGCCGCGCTGTCGTCCGCGTGCGTGTTGGCCAGGCTGAAGGTGCGCACCACCGTGTTGCCCTGGAGGGCCTCGGCGAAGCGCGCGAGCGTCTGCGACGTGATGTTCTCGATGTTGTTCAGGTTGACCTCGCGGGTGTCGGGGTCGTTGCTCCGGATCTTCGCCAAGGCCTCCTCGATCACCGTGGGGTTGCCGCTGGGGTGGATGGCGGCCGGCGACTCCGAGTGCCTCCCGCTGTGGCCGTTGGTCAAGTTGATGTTTTCTAATTGACTCTTAAATGTCTTCGGCCTGGCGCTGTCGGGACTGGCGCGCTCAGGATGGGCAGTGCCGTTGATGGCTTCCTCGTCTTCAACGGCGCTCTCCTCTTCGTGGCTGTCGTCGTCCTCCTCCTCCTCTTCCTCCTCTTCTTCCTCCTCCTCCTCCTCCTCCTCCTCCGCCTCCTCTTCGGTGTACACCTCCTCGGACACCTCACTGTTACTTTCAGTAAAAATCAGCTCTTCCTCACTCTCCTCTTTGTCTTCTTCTGCAACCTAAAGAGCATGGCACCATCGTTAAGTTTGTCATTGCTAAGCACACTTTTTAAATTTACAAAAGTAACATGGTGTTTTTTTGTTTGTTTTTTTTTGTTTGTTTTTGTTTTTGTTTTGGTTTGTTGGCAATACCCTCGATTTTGCACACCTTGCCGGGCTTCGGGTGCAGCAGACCACATTTCTCGTCTGTCTGTCATATGTGAAAATTCACACCTTTAATTTTAAAATGCTTACATGTAACCAAGATTTGCTGATCATTAAAGCCACAGGTTATTTCTTTGTCATTAATCCACTGTTATATTTTAAACACATTTTAGCGAAAAGGCCATATGTTGGAAAAAAACACTGTCATGATTTCCCCGACATAAATAAATATTGCATGTCTGCAACCATAGTCTACATACTTAAATCCAAGAGTCACTGTTGGGAAACAATGTTTACCAAGTGATTAGCACGTGATCACACCGCACCACACAGTCATTGGTTCCGTTGTCGTGTGGCGTGACTTTCAGGAGCAGTTTTAACACGTGCAGGCCCATGTCCCACCTGCGCTGAGCCAACCCCAGCGTGTGCACTTGTTTACTCGTGACTGGTGAATGCACGCATTTACTAGACCTACTCAGTAGACATTTAAAGTGACAGTAATGCATATAGAAAACTTTTCTGTGAATTTCAACTTTCCATACACACTTAATTTTAATTGTCTACATAAGTAAAAACAGGTTAACTAATTTGTCAAATTTTTAACATATGTATTTGGAAAATCTACTTTACCAAATTAGTCCGTGATATCAAGGTTTTACTGTTACGTTGTACAAATAAAACGAATACATTGTTATATGTCAACTGTATCTCAATAAATAAAGAAAAAGCAAAAGCAACACATGGCAAGTAACACAAAAATATATAAGAAAATTTAATCTCCTCGATGACCAAGGTTAACATTTAATTGCATAATTTTCAACAGCTTTTTCTACAAACATTTGTTGTGTTTTCTGCAGAATAAGCATTCAGAACGCAATTTGTTGAACTAAAATTTACTATCACGTTGCCACTTTAAAAAATAAGGTGGAACTTCAGCTTTGGAAACCCGTGATCAATTTTGTATTCTCTTTCTTAGCTACCTACTCTGAACTACTGGACACCTAGCCTACGTACAATTTTTAAAAAACTCACCCCTCCCTTCTGGATTCCGCCCTCACCCCTTTGTCCACGCTTATTTCTCCATCCCAAGGAAACACATGGCAACACGAATACACAACACGTTAATGGATTTCTTCTCTTAATGTTGAAGACTTTTCATAAACGAGGTCTCCTGTAAGCAGATGTGACAGGAGCCAGGCGCTGTCGGCCCCGCCTGCCTCGGTGGAGACAGAGACAGCGGCGTCCTGTGCTTCTTCAGCATTTATCTTCCTTGGGGGCAGAGCCTGGCACAGGTGCCCAGAGACCCCACACCCGTGAGCCGCTGCTGGCCCTGACCCTGCTCTGGGGCAAGAAGCCCGGGGAGCAGGGCTGCTGTCAGGGCAGCAGGTCAAAGCTTGGCTCTGTGAAGAAAAACACTTCGGTCACCCTTTTCAGCAAATCAACTGGAAATCTCACGCGAGTGCAGGGTTAGATGAGACGGGCCGCAGAAACTAGACTCTAAGTGTAACTCGGAACAGCAGAGAACAGTAGACAATCTTGAAGCAAGCCATTGCCTCAGCCCATGGTCTTCAATTATTTACCACGTTTCCATTATGAAAGCCCTTCAGGCAAACACAATTTCACTTTGTCTTTCCTGTTGACAAGACTCTACTAAAAAGTCCAACTGACTCCTTTCTTTTTCTTGCTACCTTTTCTGATTTAAAAAAAAAAAAAAGAAAATTGCTGACAGGGTTCAATTTTTCCATGTCCCTCCCCTGTCCCCAATGCCTTGGTTCTTCCCTCTACACTGGCACCTTTTTTTTTTTTTACCCTGAGGACTCCTACTGCCTGAGGCCTGTGGAATGAGCTTTGGATAACACTGTGCTTGTCTCCACAAGTTTGTTTGCCCAGTTGCTATCACAAAATAGCCTCCAGTTATCCACTTGTTTGGAGTGGCAGGCACCAAGTGATGGCCTGGGGAATGGGGTCAGGCTCCTGGGATGGCTTGTCCAGTCTTAATTTACTCTCTTCTTCAAGATCAGGAGGGAGAGGGACGTGTGTGTGTGTGTGTGTGTGTGTGTGTGTGTGTGTGTGTGTGTGTTTAGCTGTTTCCATATTTGCAGGAAAGGGGCCTTTCTCAAAATTCAAGGTATGGTGCCTTAAATTTTTATCCACTTTGGTTTTTGAAGAACTTTAGGCTGTATCTGCAAGAGATGTTGTCCCCTCAAAACGTACTTTCTTCCAGAAAGCCTTCTTTGACACCCCCTGAAATCACCCTGGCGATGCATTCCCACCACCTTGTACTTCCCCCTAAAAAGTGCCTATTTTAATGAGTTGTTTGTCATTTTCCCCCGAAGGCTGTTAGCAGGGTGAGGACAGGGATCATGTCTGTTTCACTCGCCTGGCTCAGCATGTAGCAGGGGCTCAATCACTATTTGCTCACTGAATGGATGTAACATGACACGGGCTAATGGCTGGGCCCCACTCCCGGAGTCCCTCCTTCAGCAGGTCGGAGGGAGCTCCGTACAATTAGCCGCTCTGAGCAGTTCCCAGGTGATGTCGAAGGTCGGGCACCCACATTTTGAGAATCGTGGTCTTTGTGCCATTAGAACTTGGCGTGAATTTCAGCTTGCTTTTAGAGTGTTGATCTCAAATGCATTTCTGAACCTCTCTTAGTCTGAGTTCTCGTGTGCGGGAGGTAAGAATTCAATGAAATGATGTGAATGTACTCAAGCTAGGGGAGTTAGAGCCTTGGTCTCCAAGGCCCATGGAGCTATTGAGTGTCGCACAGCTTTGTGTGAAGGGGGGTGGGGGGGGGCAGAGACTGTCATTCAACAGAAGTTGAACATGATTTTCATGAGCTTCTATAGAGCCAATAGCTACAAAGACCCCCATCTCCTCCCTCCTCATGGCCTGTGCTGTGTGCTCCTCAC